GTGCCCAAACGTCCTGGTTTGAGGTAAAATAGAACCAATGTTCTTTTCAGTAATTTTACTTTTCAGTAATTTTACTTTTCAGTTAAGTCTCTTCTAACTAACTAACTAACTCTGAAATTACAGCATCTTATCTCCATGTTATAGCCCTGTAGGTAGGCGTTGCTGTCTGGAACCCAACCACGAAAGCTGGGCAGCATCCCCAGCCCTGCCCCTGTCGTTGGGCATTTCAGAGACTGCTGCTCCTTGCATATATTCAAGGCTGCTCCAAGAACGCTGAAGTTCTCCTCCCTTGCGTCCTTATAGTGCTAACAGATGCATTTGTTTATGATTTTATTCAGTTATATAATCAGCACATAAAACAATCACGCTAGATTTTACAATGCCCCAGAGAAACTGCAAAGCTAGAGGCCATTTCCTGACATCCATGAGGTAAATGCATCAAATAAAGCCACATCTCTCAAGAAAACTTTAAAAGGTTGTTGCAAGCCATGAGATGCTGAGCCGCTGATCACAGGAATCACAAGGTAAAAACACTTCTCTCCGCAAAAACATACTCAACATTCCCTCAGGCTGGGATTTTTCCCATCCACTACGGTCACAGTCCTATTTCCCTTCCTCATGTGTTGTCATGGGTCACTTTCAGCGGAGAAAAACTCAAAACTTGAAGATAGGGCATTTTTCACTTGTTTTCCTTAGTTGCGAGTGATTTCTCCCTGCCAGCTTTGCAGTCGCAGAATTGCAATACGACAAGGGCAAATCTGTGCTGTCACGCAGGCAGCCTTACTGCCCGGCTGGATTCCCTTCCCAGCAGCTGGGAGGAAACGTTCTCCTTGTTTAGACAAAAATATCAAATGGTTAGGAAATAAGGCGTGAGGAAAAGCTGTATACAAGGTTCGGGCTTGAGAAACACAAGGGCACAGAGGACGTGGCCACTAAGAAAATTCCACTGGACATTTAAGTTACAATAATTTAGATCTGTTCATTTATGGTAAGTCAGCCATTTTACTGTTGACCTACTTTGTATCAGCAATAATTTGTCACAGTGCATTCTCCAACTGCTACTGAAAGAAAGGTTGAAACCATACATTAAGAGCATAGTGTCAAAGCAACTGATGTTAATTACACCCTGCAATTCCTATGTTGATGAAATTGTCACTGCTAACGATTAATACAGCATTTACTGTCTAAGCCCAGCTTGCTCTACCAACCCTTGAAAGCCACTGAATTAACATCCTGCTTCACAATGTTCACTTTATGCCACATTGGAATGTAAATCTGAAACATGTAAAAATAACCTCTGCTATTACACCAAGAATGTGTAAATATACATTCCTTTTTAGGAGAGCTATTTATCTCTAGTCTATACATGTTTCACTCTAAACTAAAAACAGCTTTAACGTTCTTCAGTCAAGTGGCAGCTTTTGCCAATATAAACTATTTTACCTAAAAATTATGGCATCGAGTAGAGGAAACTTTGGAAAACGTACAGTGCTACTTGATTTATGGAAATTCAGAAATAAGCTTTACATAGATACACAAAAAAAGAAAAGCAGCAATGTTCTTCATTTTATTCATTACTAACCTGCACAGTAACAAGAGATCATATTCTCCCAGCATAAGTAAGCAAGGTTAATTAGAAGGACACCTTATGCGGATTTAGTGTTCATGTTCAGTGACATCTGCTTAATTTGGTGACAGAAATGTTTACAAGCATCAGCACAAACCAAACACTCCGGAGCATTAACTGGATTCTTTATGGTTTGCACATCAGTAAACTGTTTTGCAAGGTCCTAGTGCTGCAGTACAGTTCCCCTGCTTCTAAATCAGCTCTCGAGCTACTCGTTTACCCATTTAAATGGAAGGCAGTCAAGAGCATACAGGCTTAACAATATTTAGCCTTCAGAATTGTCATCGCTAGCTACGACAAGATACAGCACAACTTGATCTTCTGATCCAAGACGACTCTTTAGCGATGAATAGGAGAGACCTTTTTATCCTATGAACTGATTCAATACGAAAGACAACAAAAGTAGAAGCTGGTGCTGGTATTGAAGAGTGCCTCACATAGCTTATTTCCAAAATTCTCAGGTAGACTGATAGAACAAACCAATAATAAGAAAATCCTGTGGTACAACGAGGCCTGTCATACAGATCTACCAGAAAATCTTTGCAGTCAGCAGAAAATTAAAAAAAATATATATAAATAGAAGAATTAACATCAGCATTACTAGTAATTAAATGAAAGCTCTTGCATCTCTATTCAGACCTAAGAATGACTCTAGATGTACAGGAAGAAAAAGATCACGGTCTGAATGACTGCTTAAGCCAGATGTACATCTCCAGAATAAGCAGGGAAAAATCACAGAACTGCAAAGAGAACAGAAGAACAGAGATTCTTACAGGGTACATATAATAGAACTCTCTATAGGAGGATTGTTTCCGAACATGAAATATAAAAGTAAGCTTGAGTACATAGGATCTGATACCACACATAGCACTGGGGGGGAGCACGCTGTGAGAAAAAGAAACATTTCCTCACCTGGCATGAAATAGAAGGCAATTGTGCACTTTAAAAAAAGACATTCACTGAATGGTCAACAAGTCTTAGCAGACCGGTCGGTCTGAGAAGAGGTGGAACATAAAAGCTGCGTAGAGCTGAGCCTGCCCTTAGAACACCAACACAACAACAGGATTATTCAGTGCTTCACAAGGGAAGGCCACCTAATTTAACTAACGTACACTGGGCAAGCAGGTCTTGAATGTGCTCTCTCATCTCTATTATTTGCTTTAAAATAAAAGCCTTGCTGGTTTCATAATGGCACCTTAAATGAAATTCAAAAGTGACAAGCATTTAGCTCAGTGCACTGTTTGTTCTACCTGCACCAAAAACACAGGATTGGCAACAGCCTCCTCTTGCACCCTCCATGTCTCCATGGGGTCCTTCCTCTGCCCGGCTGCCGCAGCACGCTAAGCACTTGCACAATCAGACGAGGGCACGTTGTGTGCACGTTGGGGGATGCTTAAATGGCAGCTGGAAGAAACCCCAACAACTCTTGAGGACGCAGGTTGTACCAATTACTAGTTACAGCTGCAGTTAAAAATTACGCCATGAATGAAGGCACCCCACCGTAAAAGGAGTAAAATGTTAACCATCTACAGGAGCAGGCTCATTCTTGATTCAGCGTCACATGCCAGCCTCGCAGATGGAACACTCGCTGCGCCGCAAAGCTATGCTTAACTTCACCAAAAAGCAAGCACCGACAGCTGATGCTTTCATAACTTGCATAGCTCATGTCAAAGACCAGCTACACAGCCACCCTTTCTGATGCTGGTCTTACTGTGCAGCAGGAAAGACCACGGGCAGCACCACCATACACCAAGCACAGCTCAGTCAGCAGCAAGCTTCATGAAAGTTTAATATAGCGTTACGGGAAGCCAAGCTCAATGTTTTTCTTTCTATTTGGATATAATTACGCTGTCTGCAGCCATGTAACACAACAGAAATGTCTCTGAGTATTCTTACTGCTTGAATAAATCTCTTGCTTACAGACTCGATGACTTGAAAGCATCTTAAAAGTAGTAGAATTTTTAAGATATCAAGATGTGAACCTAAGCTTTGACTTTATGCAGGAGCAACACCTGTACTTTAAAGCAAGCTCATTCTGAAGCTTTGGTAATAGATCTACTATTGCCAGATCCAGACACACTCAGCGAGCTCCTCAAAGTTCACTGCTTCAGGAGCACTAACGCTTCCACCAGTCTGTGCCAGAAAGTCACAGCACTGGAGAAGCCCAAGCAATGCTTTGAAGTGCTGAACGTTGACATACATATGCAGATCATGGTAAAAATAGTATTTGTAAGGCTGAACTTTCAAAAAAAAAAAAAGTGGGAAAGAAATTGCTAAAAAAAAGCTAAACAGTTCAGTCTTACTTTTTGCTTATATATAATCAGTTATACTATAGAGCAGAAGACGAGGATCTTAAATGGAGGAAAAACACATTATTATTGCCACATTGTAAAGTCTCACAGCAGAACAGCAACTGCCACCATGTGTGGGGAGTCTGAAGCTCCATTCTATCAATAGCCAGCCAGTTTAGCTGGCAAGTAATGACCATTTTCCTCCAGAGCAACAGCAGCAGTCTCCAGAACTGAAGTGACCAAGTCGGGTAGGCCTTTTATTAAACACTCACAGAACAAAGTACGCTGGAGATAAGGAACAGAGAGTTCTTGAGTTTTACTCCAGCACTTTTAACAAGTGCAAATAAAGTGGTAAGGAATTTCTCTCAAGTGTAACTAACCACTGTGCTGTATACAAATGACATTAGTGTGGTGCTTAAGTGAATCACATCTCCACAGCATTCATTAACTTTGAATACACATTTAAGTATGGGCTTCTCACTTCGCCTCAACCAACCTTTTAAGTTTGGGAAAAAAGATCTACATACCTTTTGTTGAATTCCATCTTAATGATTTCTAAAGTGAAAGTCTTGCATCTGAAGAAAGCAAAAGGCAGCAACCTTTCTGTAGAGTGGTTAACCTGCTCTTAAGGCTACGGGACACTTGCCCCAGACACTCTTATTGAGCAGGGAATCCATCAGGGAAGAATTGAGAACTTGTGAGCAAGTAGGTCAAAATGGACATTTAGGTTTGCTATATCCTTCATCAGGAAGCCAAGTAAACTTTAATCCTCTGGATTTATTCAAGTCATCTTTGGTGGATGTTATTTCTGTACCTTTTCCTCATATCCTGGGATTATTGGCCCTGGAGTTATTTCCGCATTGACTGATTTTTAAAAGGTTTAAAGTGACACGTACATCATTGTGTTTCCCTAAACTTCCCAAGCATTTATATACGAGGTCTTCATTAATCCATGTCTGCATCAAACGTTCCCTAGCATCAGGGTGCCACTGATGTTCTTAAGCCTTTATAGTACCTATTTCATTTCCACTGTGAGACAAAAATAGTTTAACTGGTCCTATGTAATCACGACAAGAGATTAATTAAAATGCCAAGATAGGAAACAATTTATTATAGAGAGAAGAAAAATTTCTCATCCAAAATATAGAAATCTGTACAACTTTGCCACAATCAATATACATGAACTGTACAAATTTACACCAGTTCATAATTTACCAAATAAAAGATGACTAACAAAGTTCACAAAATAGATGGTGGTTTGTGGAAAAGACTTTTACCCAATTAAGAACAAGGAAATTACAAACCAGACCTCCACTTTCTAAAAATAAGAAGTTTACTCAGTCTTAGAAAACTACAAGCTAGCAAATGTACAGATAGCTGGCTGGTGCTAACACCACAGTTCAGACAGTGTCTTTATATGGTCTTTTTAAAGCCTGTTGCCATGGCAGATTCTGATCACTTGCTACTTTTGAGGCCAATGTAAAGATCTGACCATTTCCCCAGGTCATACTTACTAGTTTATCTTATGTACATTTATACATATTTGTAAGTGCCAGGTAAAAGTCTGAAAAATAAAATTTCCAGTACTATGGTGTTCATAACAATAAGTCTTGTTACTGAGCTGCCAAAAATGCTAACAATTAATAAATGTAATAGTGCAAATTTACTCTGCAAGACCTACTGCAGAGAATCACTTTATAAATACAGATTGGGGTTGAAAATTGGTGTAGAAATTACGTAAGATGTCTTGGAGAAACTGACCCTTCCTAGATGATCTTCACTCCCTAGCAAGTTGCAATCGTTTTGACTCACAGGCTATTAAATCACTGAAAGGTACTGTCCAAACTATGGCACTGTCACTTTAAAGTATACCACTCTAACGTGTGCCAGATCTTCACAGCTGTGACATGGTTTAAATTCCATAATCCATCCCCAGAGGTGCCCACCCAAAGTAAAAACCAAATTTATCCATCCATTTTAAGGTGATCCATCCACAGACTATATCTTAACCCGATACAGTCATCATATTGTAGCTTTTGGAAGGGCTAGTTCTGCCCAAGAGAAGTTCCTCCTTACAGCTTATTCTGCTGTCTACCATTTGCATGTTGGTGTTATTTTGGCTACCTCCTGCTGGTGCAGCTTCATACAGCACACAGATTGAGCCATCCTCTCCAATACGATAGGACACTTCATACGGGTCAACCCATAGAGTGAGTTCGCTTGGAAGAAGCTGGAACAGTTCCTGACTGCTCAATCCAATCCGCTGTGCTGCCTGTCCAATGAGAGGATCCATTTTATGGTTGATCCGGATACATCGGTAACCTGATCCCTTGCATGGCTTTTCTGGGAACCAGTGGTGTTTATAATGTTCTATAAAATAAAAAAATAATAAGAAGAAAAGATTATCCTCCTTAATTCTGGATTCAAAAAAGATGCAACAGTGATCATTGTTCTCCTGCAAATTTCACACCTCAAGATGTTGAAAAGCTGATCTTAGCATCAAGTGACCTGAAAAATCATTACAGCCTTTATTTTTGCCGATGATTTACATAAGTGTAGCGTCCCTTGGGAAGTGCTCATGCATAAAGTTACTGTTCCGTGCTACCGTATACAAAGAACAATGCTTGCCATCTGAAAGGAGTGAAATCCAACTTCCTGGGATTCACAGAAACAAATACAAAAACACAGAAGTGATTACACACAGCGCAGAAAAACTCAAGGGCTTCAAAATTCCAAGAACCAATAAGGAAAAAAAGCTCCTTCCCAGCATCCTCTTGAGATCACACCCATGCTTAGTTCCTCACATTCTAAGAACACCCAAAAATAACTAGGGAAGGAGCTGGGCAGCATTTACCGACTGACTCAGGCTGTATTTCGCCACTGCTCTTCCCAGCCTGTTTTCCAGGGCGAGATACCAATGACTTCACTTACCTTAGGAGTTCTATCCCACCCAAACCCCTATCTGCCCGAGGCTGCTTGTGGCCACCACCAAAGCACACGGGGTGGGACACGGGCTGGGGATTACAAAACCCACACGGCAGCCAAGAAACCCCTCGGTATTTGATCCTAACCGGAGCTGGCGGGTGGCTATGAGATGTTTCCAGAAGAAAGGGGAGCGGAGACTCATCGTCCACCGCTGAATTTTACCGGACAAAAAAAAAAGGGGGGGCGGGGAAAGAGCAACTTCGGAGCGTTTTATCCTCCGGGAAACCGGGCGGTTCGATGCCCGGGAGCGGAGCCCAAGTCTGGGCTGCTCCGAAAGCTTTTGTCTGCGGAGCCGAGAATGGGGGGGGCTGCGTGCGCGATACCCGAGCCCCTTTTGTTTACAGCCCGCTCCTGCCGCCCCCACCCGCCGGAGCCGCCTCGGCACGGGAGGGGGGTCCCCAGAAGGGACGATCCACGTCCGCGGAGCCCCACTCGCCCCCCCGCACCGGCTCCAGCCCCTCGGAGAGGCCGCTCTCCGCCTTCCCCCCCCCACCTCCCTCCGGCGCTGCCGCCGCCGGGCGGCCCCGCGGGCCCGGGCAGGCGACCCCCGGGGCGGAGGGGACAGCGCGTCTCCCCGGCCGGAGCTGGGTCGGGGGAGCGGCTCCCGCCGCAGCCGCGCCGCCCTCACCTGCCAGCAGCTCCTGCAGGCTCTGGCTGAAGG